ATATTGAGTGTGCGTGTGATTGGTAAAAGTTCAGTGGTGATGACTGAGAAAGCAGCCGTTCCTACAGAGCTGCAGAACGTTGTCTGGCAACCTGAGAGGAAAGACTCTCAGAACCCACAATCGAGAAGCAGGCTGCTACTCTAATGCATGGCTTGTTCCATACCTGTGAGACGACCGATCACTTATTTGCATAGCACCATCCAATCACCTATTTGCTTGAGGTACTCAGCCTGCAGACTAGGCCTCCTTTTATCTTTGCGTGTCTGCTCCATGGCCTGTCCAGGCATTGGGAAGCTCCAGAGTTGTTGGTTTTATCTGAGTAAACAGTAATCTCCATTATGAACCCACTTAAACTCTTCTGAAACCTTGGAAAAGGCACACACAGAATATATTTTGATATTTGTAATTTCTGTGAACAAAAGGACAGGAGCTCTAACAGGAGCTGTAACAAAATAATTCTGAGTAGCTACCAAAAAATTTTCACGAACTAGTCAGAGGAATGATAAGATGGATATTAATATAGTTACAGGTGATATATAAATATAGATGTACAGATATAGATATACGTATATATACAGCAATTTTCAACTGGTGTGCTGCAAGAATTTTTAAAACATGCAATACCTGACTATTTAGTCAGGGGCACTGACCTCTTTTCCCTTAGATTGTCAAATAAAAAAATGACAACAGCCAACACAACAATAGTTGTCTGGTGTGAATGAATGAAAATTATACCTATTTTCTGTTGGATCGGGAAAAATATAATATTTTTTTTGGTGTGCCACAGAATTTTAGTAATTAGTTTATGTGTACCATGAGATAAAAAAAGATTAAAAAGCACTGATACAGAGAATGCAGGAAGGAGAGAGAGATGTAAAATTAAAGTTTGTTTTGTAAAATAAACACACTATGGCCATTTTGAATCTCAAACTTTTCATATGTTATTTTACTGAAATTAAATGTAAACACTAAATTTAGGAAAAAATGGTATCTATTTATTGTTTTTATTATAAAATATGCATGAGTTATTTACACAGGTCTGTTATATTCATTTTTTGTCAATATCTAGCTCACAAAAAATTGTAAACAGTAAAAACTAAGAGAAGTAAATGGTGGTTCCTTTTGTTTTAATGGCTCAACATCCCTCCTGTTAACTCAATATTTCTGATGTCAAAAATATTCATGATAGGTGCACATAAACTACAATTTCATTATAATGCAAATGTAATATGAATTGTTTTATGTTTATCAGAAGAGATAAGCCACATGAAAATCAAGTGTGTTCACTGTTCCTCATTTTGAAATTAAATCATTGCTTGTTGAGTCAAACTGTGGTAAGGAGTTAGATAGGCATGATCAGCATAGGAACGATAGGCCAGGTACAGAGGGTCACCAGGGCGGAGAGCCTCAGGCACCTAGCAACAGGCAAAATTACAAATCCTTGCACAACCACACTCTTAAGCATTAATCCCTGAATATGACATCTAGGCTTCAGCTTTGTTTCAGTTTCAGATCCAGAGAAGAAGCAAAATCAGACAGACCACTCAGTGAAGACCATAACCTTGAGGAAGAGCTGATGTCCATTCTGTTGAGATCTTCCCTGGAGACCTCCAGATAAAAGCCCTTAAGACAGAGACCCCAAGTGTGCTCTTTTTTTCCCTCTTTTTCAGAGCATGACTACACTTTCCCTCCCTCTTTCATCTCTCAAGGCACCTATCTCTCTCCCTCTCTGAAACTCTAAGGGCTCTTCTTTTGCCTCGGTAACTTGTTTCCTGAGTCCATTTCTTCAACCATTCACTTCTTCTAACCTGTGACTTCCTAAATGAACTTTCTCTTACAGTTTGAGCCTTGGCTCTGAATTACTTCTTAGCCAGAACTCAAGTACTTGTTGCTGAACCGAGGTCTAATACCTGGTGTCATTTCGCTGCAAACAAAACTACTAGTTTTTGTGGGTAGCTTATTATTTATGGTAAATTCTATAGACATGCACCCATTATTGGCACAGTTCATGATGCTGGGGCACAGGTGTGGCTTTCCATGTGATGGCTGTCCGCTTTTCAAAGGTGTTCCAACCAGGTGCTGCACTTATCTCTCCTGTATTTTGAAGGAATGAATTTTTATATTCAATATGCTAAAGAAAAAAAGTATTTAATACTGTAAAGAAAAAAATAGCTATCTTTTTTGTTTCAATAAGCCATACATGTTTTATTTTAATTACCCAAAATGTTAGCACAGTTTTATTCTACATAAAGCCAATATTTGTTCTACTGTAAATATTACCCAGAGATGTTTGGGGCAATCTATAATGCACAGGAGTACTGCTTCAAGGACGATTAGTACAAGTGTATTTGAAACCCGGCCACAGATATTCCTGGATTGGGTCTCATTTTTTCTTTGCATCTTGCCTTAAAGAATAGTTGTCCTTACCCTTCAATAGCAGTACAATGCCAAAAAACAATCTGATGCACTGATAGGAAAGCCATCAGTTCCAGGAATACTGATTTGCAAAGGTGGTACATTTGGCAAGACAGTCTTAATGCCTGATATTATGTGGGTAAACATGAATCTTTGAAAAAAGCTCATTTAAACTCATTTCAAAAAGCATCATGTTAGCTCATTTTCTTCAACATCTCTCTGCGTTTTGTAAAAGCAATTTAGGCAAAATTAACTATCTCTTGGAGTAGCTTTCCCAGAAGCATCGCCTCACAAGACAAGGCAGAATTTAAAGCTATATGGTGTCAAATGAAGAACGATTCAGGATATCTCATTGGCACATTTAGGTCATACTGGATTTTCTTGTTCCAAACCACTTGTGTATGAAATAGCTGTGACATCTTTGTCATATCAGAAGAAGAGTGTACACCTACAGCCTGGTGTGAGGGTACCAGGCCTGCAAGCCTGGAGGTCACCTCTTGGCTTTCCTCTCCTCGTATCCTGGGGACCCTCCAGGAGTCAAGAGCAGGTGCTGTGCTGTCTGGCTCCGTGTTCCAAACATCCTGACTTACGCATCTCTGCTGGGCTCCATGGGACATTGGAGCCAGTAGTTTTCATTGGCAAAATGTCTTTTGTTTCTCTTGCTTCACTTATTTAGACCAGTTTTTTTTGTTTGTTTGTTTTAGAATTTAGTATTTTTCAGATTCTTCACATTTGAGTCAATAATCAGCCAATTAAGTCATCTGTGAGATTTAAGCCAAGAATCTGTTTGGGTTTAAATTATATGGAAATGAAAACAAATACATCTTAGGGAATCCGATGTTTCTAGTCTCCCACAGAGCTCCCTGCGAGGGTGTAGCTGCCCTGCGGCCCCGGGTAGAAGGAATGGGCCGGGAGAGCAAGCTGAGTGCAGGCTAAATCTCAAGAAGACCGTCTGGCCACAGGCAGACTTTGGGCAACGGAGGAGTCACCTCTGCACAGCACTCAGTAACCATCAAATGCTGCTAATGACTCTTATTGTGATTATGATTTCCTATTTTATTGCATAGTGCCCATGGGTCTTCATCACACAGCATCATTAGTAGTCTTCTTGTTTTAAGTAATTATCAAGTTTCTATGTGTTACAATTTACATGGGAAACATCACCATCTGTCTTAATAAAAACAATTTGACGGAGTGAGATTTGGAATTTTCAGTGCACCATCAAGTTGCTAGACACATGCTTAGTTTTGAGGTTCTCTTGAGCAATTCTGTCTGTATAAATTGATATTTCATAACTTTTTCATTTATTAGAGATTTTCCAAAGAACACAGAGAAAATGTATTTGTTTTAAAATAGTATTCATGTTATATAATAGTATTTAATATTTTTTAATAAAATAACTTTTTTTTTTACATTTACTATTTGAGTCCTTGGACCCTTTTATAAAATCTAATATAAAAGTGAGATTCTTAGTGATCTTTTTTCCTATATCTTTATTTCACTCTTTTAGCATTCTAGGAACTATTTCATCTTAAGTCATTATTTCCAACTGTGCTAAAAAATACTGAAATAATAAATATAGTATAATGATGGAATCAGCTGGAAACATTAAAAAAAGTATCATTACTTCATCATTTTTTCATTTTCTTTTTGAGTTGTCCAAAATGTTGGCTTACCAACTCAGATGTAAAAATGACCCCAGACACTGCCTTTGTACTTTATTTTTAGTTATATTAGATAGGTTTAAGAATCTAGAATTTTTCACATTCTGCCCAAAACAGTAAAAAAAGGAGAGCAATCCTGGCCAGTGTTGCTCAGTTGGTTGAGACATCATCCTGTAAACCAAGGTGTTGTGGGTTCAGTTCCTGGTCAGGGCACATGCCTATGTTATATAGGTTATCTAGTTGTGATGCACACAAGAGGCAGTCAATTGATGTTTGTCTCTCGCGTTGATGTTACTCTCCCTCTCTTTCTCCTCCCCTTCTCTCTATAAAATCAATGGGTATATCTTCCAGTGAGGACTGGGAGGTGGCGGGGAGAGAAAGAAAAGAAATGAAAGTATATGTTTCACAATCATTAGATCATAATGTTAATACAAAGACAAGAATATCAGCTCTCTGAAATTTCAGAGCGCAGCCAGGTGTCCTACATTCATTTTCTCAAACTCAAAATCTATGAATGAGCAAACATTTCTACATACAAGAAAAATGTTGAACTTTCACCCAGTTAGTTTTCCAACAGGGAGGACTCCTCTATGCAATTGATTAGGACAAGAACCTGCGCTATCCCGTTTTGATAAATGGACACGTGACAATATCCTTTCAACTTTTATGATAATGTTTGTGCACCAAAATTTATTTAATATGGTTCCTCAGTGCACAAAAAGTAGGTATGCATACCAACAATTAGATGAAAATAGATAATTTAACAATGAAAAGACATTGGATTTACTATTTTAATGAATACTTATAAAAATAAAATGTATTTGAAATTATGGAGCAAAGCGGGCTGCCCTCTATCTTCAAGAAGTGTAAAGTGTCAAAATTTCTCTCTCTCTCTATCTCCCCCTCTTTTTTTTTTTTATGTGTGAGAAAGCTCCAGGGTTTGGAAGACACAGAAGTGGACCCCCCAAACATGGGAGAATGCTTTCAGCAATTGCTCTCCTGCCTTATCAATGGTCAGGACACTGGCAGCCCACAATCACTTTCAAATGCAGGGGGCAAAATTTTCAAAACATTCTTTGTGTTGTGCTTTGATGGTCCATGCATACACATACACACACAAAAGAACTTGAAGTAATGATGAGCTAGAAACTGTCAGAGAAATTTCTAGAATCTTGATTCAGTTTTTACATGGAAGGTTTGTTTCAGGTAGATGCAAGAAGGTTTATGAACATATGTTGTATTAAGGGGACTTTACCCATTTCACATACATAGATCTTTAAGCAGAGACAGCATGGAATCAAAATTTGGGTTTACTATGCTAAAATTCTTATGCTTGAAAATTATTTGTAAAATGACTTTAGTTATAAACAAGTTATTTTAAGTTATAAAATAAAAAGTAAAAGGGTCCTCTGTGACAAGAAGAAAAATGGTGATGACTATTTCAGGGTTCTCCAGAGAGACAATAGGAGATTATATATATATACACACACACATATATATACACACACACACACATACACACACACACACACACACACACATATATAAATGTATATAAAGATATTTATTGTAAGGAGTTGGCTCATGTGATTATGGAGGCTAAGAAACCTGAGATCTGCAGTTGACAAACTGAGACCGAGGAGAGCCAGTAGACAATTCCCATCCGTGTATGAAGGCCAGAGAAGCAGAGGAGCTGATGGTGCAAGTTCCAGTCTAAGTCTGAAGACAGGAGAAGACCACAGTGTCCCATCATGAGGTCAGTCAGGCAGATATAGCAAGTTCTCCCTGACTCTGCTTTTTGTTCTGTTCAGGCCTCCTGCTGATTGGATGAGACCTGCCCACATTGGAGAGGGCAATGTGTAGCCTGACTCAGTCTACCAATTAAAATGTTAATCCCATCCAGAAACACCCTCACACACAGTCAGAATAATGTTTAACCAAACATCTAGATGCCCCATGGCCCAGGCAAATTTTATTTTTACTCGAAGAAAATAACATTACATAAAATTCAGGTGTATAATGTTATAACTTAATATCTGTCTACTCTATTGTGTACTAACCACCAAAAGTCTAATGTCCATCCATTACCATATATTTGAACCATTTTATCCACTTTGCTTTCCCCTCACCACTTTCCCCTCTGGTATTGTCTGTATGTATGCATTTGTTTTTTGTTTTGGTTTGTTAATTTGTTTGTTAATTTTTGTTTTATATTCCACATGTGAGTGAAACCATATGGTTTTATCCTTTTCCATTTGACTTATTTCACTTAGCATAATATCCTTAAGCTTCACCCATGTCATCCCAAATGGGAATATTTCCTTTTTTTATGGCTGAGTATTATTCTGTTGTATATATGTGCCACACCTTCTTTATCCATTCATCTATCATTGGACCCAGAGGCCATTCAAGTTGATGCATGAAACTAAGATTCTCACTAAGTGATCATGGCATTTGGAGAAGGGTACCCCAGGGCCCTTACAGTGCTTTTAGGATATAATTCTCCTGCAGTCACATGCACTAGAGCAGAAAGCATGGAGAACATCCATTAGAAGGGACTGCCAACACCAAAAGGTTCATTTAAATGTGGTGTCTCATTGGGATGCATTGTCTATCTGACAACCTACAAGTGAGTACAGTTTGGGGCATTTGGTCAAGGTGCAATGGAACTCACTTCACATAGAACAGGACATAAATGAGAGTGTAAATGTGGCCAATATGAGAGCAATTCAATTATTAGAACAAAGCCCAGTCCCAAATGGGTACTAATAAATGTTCATTAAGGAAGAGCGGCAAAATGGAAAGAAGGAAGAAAGTAGTTGGGGAGGCTGGAAGGAAGGGAAAGAGAGAGACAGGCAGGGAAGGGAAGGGAAGAAGAAAAGGCAGGCAGGCCATGGACCAGGTGAACTGGTGTTTTAGTTCCCTTGAATTCTGGGTCAGAAAAATGTAAAATTATTCAAGAATTACCTAGTAGGTATCAGATTTTAACAGTCATTCTTGCAAGGGAGCTCTAAGGTATACACTGGGACTAAAGATATAAATGAGTGGATGGTGGACCCATCAAGGCCATGAGGGAAATGAGGACATTTGGTCTATCTCTATCTTGAAGGGTAAAGTCTGGAGGAACAACTATGCATTACATCCTGTGTCCTTTGCTTGCCCTCTCAGGGTATTGGTGGTCCAAGTGGCCAGGTCCCATGACTTCAGAATGTTCATGGAATCTTGGTATTCCTGGGTCACCAGGGACTTCATAGCTCTCCTCTGTTGTCTGTACTGGGATGTGACCAGTAAGGACAGCTAGAACCATATACTCTTCACCTCTCCTCTGGTGACCTCTGGTGTCTTTTAAAACAGCTCTAGGACCTGGTTCCCAAACCCTGGGCTGAAGATGGCCCCTCTTATGGTCTCTCTCCCATGCTCCCATCCAGCCCTCGTGTCCTGTGGCTCCAGGCACCACTTTCCCCTTGTGTCCTTCCACAAGGTTAGGCTCAGTATTTGCTCAACCCCTTTTGACTTTCTCTAACTTTCCCTCTGCAAAGAATTTCTTCCACCTGTCAATTCTTACTTTTATTTTGATGGTTTTGGTTGCTAATATCACCTGTTTGTTTTTTTTTCCCTAAGAGGCAAGACATTAAAGAGACACAGCCTCATGCACCACTTCAGGGTATCTCAACTATAGTTTTCAATTCTAAGACCTTGGTTGCTGGAGCTGTCTGAATGGTTCAGCAGAGTGGGGATGAGCTGACTACTCCTGTGGTTAGGTCAGGGGCCAGAACAGCTGCTCGGAGCTCCAAGGAGGCCACTGCCATGGCATGTCTGGATTAGGAGGGACTATTGACACTCAAGGCCAGAGCTGTGACACTCAATGAGCCCCTCTCCAGTGTGGGCCCTTCCCTAGACACTGGGGGGGTATCCTCTCAGTGTGTGCCCATATTCACATGTTTTTAATAAAATGTCCAAAATTAGCACACCTTTGTGGGTTTTTTTTCTAGAGGAGAGGTCCACAAATGGCTGAAACTTTAGGCCTCACTAGCTGGACCTGCCCCTGGTCAGGAAGGTTGATCCTAGGTGGGGAGCAAGTTCAGCAGATTCATCCCTTTCTCCCTACCAGCCCTCCTCCTTGCTTCAGCCTCTGTACCCAGGGCATGGACGTATTCCTAACACTTGTGCTAGATGTGCTTCTTGTTGTATTCACAGGGTGGGCAAGCACTACAAATTTGTCTGGAGGAGGAATTCATATCACAGGAATTATGCAAGTCCCTAGGAAGGGGCTTCAGCCCTGGCAGGCAGAGGCAGGGAGCAGTTTGGACAACATTAGGTAGGTGGGACCAATGACCTTTCTCCATCTGATTTCATTCTGCTTTGCATCGGAATGGGAGAATGGAGGTGTCCAGAAAGCCCACTTTGCTTTTTCAAAGTAATGAAATTCTATTTGGGCCTTCACAATTCAAAGGAGAGTAAATAGATCTTTGATGAAAGCTTATGGACTGGAAAAACAAAGTTCTTTAAACCTTAGTGCCCTGACACCCCTTCTCTCTTTCTCTCCCATTCTGTTTACTGCAAATAAACATTTTTTTTTAATAAAAAAAGAAAGGCTGCATATATAACAAATACTTGTACATCAAAATATTTTGATTATAGAAACATGGATTTGCAAAAAATAAAAATAAAAGAGTAAAGAAAACCCAGGTAAATATTTAAAAGCTTAATTCAATGGCTGATCCCTATAAATGTTATTGTCTCACATTTTCTACTTGTAAAGATACAATTCATTTTCTTGATTGCCACAGTCTGGTTTAAATGTGTATTGCACATTTAATTCTCATGTCCAAGGCAATGTGTGGGGTGAACAGTGTGCCGCCCAAATCTATGCCCACTTGGAACTTCTGGATGTGAAGTTCTTATTTAGAAATAGGTTATCTGCAGATGTAATTAGTTAGGATGAGCTCATAGTGGGAAAGGTGGGCCTCAAACCCAATGACTGGTGTCCTTGTAAAAAGGTCGTGTGAAGACATGAACACACAGCAGGAACATGACAACCACGTGAAGACAGACAGAGGCAGAAATTAGAATGGTGTAGCTATAAGTCAAGGAACACGGCACCAACCAGAATCACGAAGGGCCAGGGAGGACCTTTCTCCAGAGCTTTTAGAGGGAGTGTGCCCCTGTCCATACCTTGATGTTGGATTTTGGCCTCCAGACTGAGAGAGAATAAATGTCTATTATTTTAAGCAGCCTGGTCTGTTGTCATTTGTTACTGCAACCCCAGGGAACTGACCTAATGCTCAAGGTCAGCCACACAGCAGCTGGCTCCTTGGCAGAGAAACACTGAGGAAGGCCCAGCTGAAAACCACAAAGAACAGACACTGTCTGTTTCACAGACCCCAGTGAACAGGGCTATGGGGAGAGTGGCTGGCTGATTAGGACACTTAGAATGGAACGTGCAGACTCGCAGCTACTGAGGAGACAACCTTAGTTTGGAGTGCTTAGCTGGAAGAGAGCAGAGAAGACCAACTAGGACTGGAGCACTCATTGGGGCTCTCATGAGCCTTCTGAGTTGTGGGAAGCGAGGCCCCCGGGTATGAGCACAGGCATCAGACTCCACACAACAGCAGGCAGAACTTTGGTGCCCACTGCAGAAGGAGGACAGCAGAGACCCATCCCATCATGACACTGTTGGGAAGATTCAATGAGGTAAGACCCCAAAGGGTAGCCCATGAGTAGCTGCCATGGTCATTTATACAGATTCTAAAGGCAGAGGAACATAGAGTACAGACAGCTGAGCCAGACTTGAGGCTGATGGGTTGTTTGCTCCGCAATGCCACATTCATGTGCAAGTTCAACTACCAGACTCAGGGTCTTGAAAAAAGAGAATGTTTCTTTAGACAAGACTGATTAGATTATCTTTTTTTTTTTTTTTTCTTTTTAAGACTTAAGTCAGAGGGAGGATTGACATTGCATCTTTCTCTTTGCAGCTTCCCCCAGGGTTGTAATTTACTTAATATTCTTAGTACTGACCTGAAATAGCTGGAGGGAATGATTTAGTAGGCCAGG